TAAGTTTATCGGGGTGACCACCAGGATCTGGGGAAACACTTGTTCACCAGAGCACCCCAAGGGATGACAAGGTCAAACGGTCATAAACTACTGCAAGACCGTTTTCAGGCTGGACATAAGGAAGAACTTCTTTACTGCCCGAGCCCCCAAGGTCTGGAACAGCCTGCCATCAAAGGTGGTTCAAGCACCTGCACTGAACACCTTCAAGAGCAAATTGGATGCTTCTCTTGCTGGGATCCTATGACCCCAGCTGACTTCCTGTCCTTTAGGCAGGGGGCTGGACTCGATCTTCTGAGGTCCCTTCCAGCCCTAATGTCTATGAAATCTATGAAAAGATATCAGATTCACCCAAATAACCTTGTCTGCCTATATTTGGTAGGCATTTGGGTTCTTCAGAATCAGGAAAAGTCAGCTCTTCTGCTAACAAATACAGAAATAATATAAAAGAATCTCTTATGAAATACTTTTCAAATATCACATAACATGAATATGGCTGGAATAAGAGAGTACCGTTTGAAAAGAAAGTAGAGGCATGCAATAATACAACTGACCTGATCATGTGCTCATTCAAGTTAATGCAAAGTTCCCACTGACTTCAAAGAGAGATGATCAAGCTCCTGCCTTATACATGAAGTGTGGTTATATTTTTAACCCTCATTACAACCCACTGAATTAATAAAATTAACATATTTTGTTCTAAGGAGAAAACAAATTCTGGATAGGCTACTTATCTTGTTTATTTGCTTAAAACATTAACACCTTGAAGAATTCACAGAACACAGGATGTTTTATTAGTAAGCTAGTTGAGGAAGGTATTTTCAGAAAATCTGAAGGAGAGACTTTAAACATTATCAAATACTTACTGACTTCATATGGGCAGATGGGCACCGTTTTGTGGACTCTCTTCAGCTGCTTGAGAATGCCAGCAACAGCTGAAATAGCCATCTAAAAATAAGAATCTGAGGATTAGTGTATCCATTTCACATTCTCACTGGAAGAACTGGTCTGTATTCACATTATGGCCACTCATCTTACTAACACAATGCTTAGAGGCATTCCCTCAAATGTATAACTACCACCATTAAGCACACCAGTAGCTGAGTTTGCTGCCTCAGGAGTTGCAGTCCACAACTGACAACCTTTTTTATTGTTTTTATTTTTTCAGCTTCAAGTGGTGGAAACACTAATGTAATAAGCACAATAAACCAAATGAATAGTATACGTAGAAGGCAGAGATGAACATCCCTCTGCACTGTGTTTATGCTCTGTTAACCAGAACTCCTGAACTGATTACATTTAAGGGAGATACCATAAAAAGCAATACTAACATAAAGAAAGAGAGTATTCACTGAATTATACATGTAAGCTTCTACAGCTAATGCCATTGTCACTGAACTCCCTAAACTAATTTTTACAGGGGCAAAAACTAGCGTGTACACATGCAGTCACTCACAGGTACATAGGGCTCTATACAAAACATTTACACGTGGACCAGAGATCCACCTGAAAGTGGGAATTTTCAACATGTATGAACTTTACCTTACGAACCACAATGGCATCGTGGGTTAGACACTGAACAAAGAATCTTATGGCACGGACAGGCAGCACCCTATCATCTCTCAGGAGCAAGGATAAAAAGCCAATGCCTATGTGCTCAAATTTCCAGGGTCTGAAAATCAAAAAGCAATAATGGAGAAGACAGCACTTTACACATAAGATGCTTATAAAAATGTATCAAAAAAAAAAATCACTGAAGTTAAGCAGATGTAGTAATAAAATAAAATGATTTAGGGCAGTTAAAATATAGCGTCCATTACTCAGAATCGTATTGGGCAGAATACTTTTAATACCAAGAACTGCTAATTCTTAGCAGTGATAAATAAAGAAATCAGCACATACGAACACTGCGATCCCACAGGCTTAACAGAACCTGGCCACTGCACAGCAGCCTAGCTACTAAATACTACAAGATTATGTAATGCATCCGAATTGAACACATTGGGTGCAGCTACACGAAATGCTTACTGCAGAGTTCCCTAGTGAGCTCCACAGTAAAGCATCACCATCTACAGGATAGTACTGCACAACGCAAGTACTCTATGGTGGAGTTACTTAGTCCACCGCAAGGCATGTCTAGATTGTGCATAGACTGTACTGGCTAGCCCCGCACTGTAGCACCCTCCTGCCCCAGCCAGCCCTTCCGCAGCATGTTAAACCTGGGCAGAGTAGTGCCAGGCTGGCAGGCTGACTCTGTGGGCCCCCTGCCAGCTGGGGCTATGCTGCCCTAGCTCAACATGCTGTGGTCCTGGGAGCAACGAAGTTCAGAGCAAACTGCACCGAGTTTATTATGCTGAATTAGTTTATGTGCAGACGTGCCCATTTTGTCTTATTCTGAAACATGCGCCTTGAACCTGTTATAAACTAAATAGCTTGAAAGAATAGATAATTAAGCACACTGTCCCGTTTCTCTTCCCTTTTCACTATAAGGGAGGCAGAAGACCATTTGTGGGGTTAGTCAGTCCCCAACTCCATGACAATCCGTGAAATAAGACGAAACAAAATTTATTTAAAAAAAAGACAAGATACTACAGATCTTTTGATTATTATTTATCTATAAAACTCATGCTAGTCTAAAATGAAAATCAAAGATAGCATATCCTAGTCACTTAAACTACCCATTTTACTACTATACATTTTATTACTACTAATGTACTCCCCCTCCCTTTCTTCAAAGGAGCTTACAGAAGAACAAACTTACAGATTTCTTTGTTCCACACAATCTAACAGCATGTTGACCAAGTTCTCATAGTTTCTGAAAAAAACAAAAGCAAAATGAACATCTAGAGAGGAGGACCTTCTAGTCTCTATTGAGACCAAGCACCGTAAAAAAATGTCAAGACAGAAAAAGACCTCTTTAATCCAAAGTCAAAATAAACCATAGTCAGTAATAAATGCACAGCATTTGCAGCATTAATAATTGTAATTTTGGGAAGGTGGAGGAGCAGCAATGCTACCGAGTTGAGGAAGAACCACCAAAGGATTACTTAACCTCAGACATCCAAGACACAGCCTTGTGGGCCAGATGTGGCCCATGAAGCAGTGTCACACAGGCTGAGGTGCTGTCGGCAGGGCCAGAAATTTGGTGGTGGGGCAAATGGCAGCAGCATTCATTGCCATGGCCCCCGGCGCCACATCAGCCTTGGTTCATATCACCACAACTTCTCTCCTATTACTGCAGCAGTGATATTCCCTTATTACCGAATCTTCCTAGAACACCCAGGCACCCCCTCCATTTTCTCTTCATAAACACTTCAAGAGGGTGTTTACCTGTAATAAAGCTGAAATAAAAAGGTATACAACAGCAATGCCAATTAAACAGACTACAAAACAAGATCTCAAATTCACAAATGTAACCTACTGTAAAATCTGAAGTATAGTCATCTTAATGGGTACTTGTATTGTAATATGTCTATGTCAAAATGCTGTACTGACGACAGTTACTACGTGAATGCACCAGTAGTGAGCTCAAGATAGTACAGCAGTGGTTCTCAAACTTTTTAGATGCAAGGCACCTGTTGTAGGACTCAAACCGCCCCTCAGCAAATGCCAACTTTACAGAACCAGAGCAATTCCGCTGTTGCAAAGAATTCAGAAAGACCACAACAGATGAGAGTGATTTTGATACTATTTGAGATCTGTAGTTTTATCTTGTAAATCACAGAGATGTGTGCCAACCTGACAGTGATAATATTCTATGACACCCTTTATAAAAAAAGGTCTCATTTTGGCACAACCAGATGCTATGACACACTATTGCTAATCACTGCATTATAGTGCGGAGTATGATATAAGAATTTATAGAAGCTAATTGAAGTCAGTGGCATCCCTTCAAATGCAAATGAAGAGTCCTGAAAGTCAGTTCTATTGACAAAAAAAATGGAAACATGAAACAATGAAGAAAAATAAATAAATAAATAAATAAATAAATAATAAAAAAAAAAAAAAAAAAAAAA